CTAAGAGACCCTTGATGCAACTCAGAGGTCAATTAAACCGCCAAAGACAAAGGAAGATAAAGATGCATGACATGCAGTTCAGGACTTGCATCGCTTCTTGGGTTTGCTGGCTCCCTGGTTGCCATCTGGCAGTTCGGCACCATCTCACTGACCTCCTGAGGAGTGTGGTTATCCCTCTCTGAAAGGTGAAGGAACTGCCGAGGAATTACACTGCTCAACTTACCAGGCAAAGTTCTTGCTCACATCCTTCCGAGATGTATCAAGGATTGCCTTTTGAGGCACCAGAGGCCATAGCTATCCAGATTGACTCCTGGTAAGTCCACACTTGACTGTATCCTGGCTAGTCATTGTAGAGCGTTGTCATAAATGCCTCCCTGAGCCTCCTTGAAGCAGCCTACATCAGCCTCAAGGAGGCACTTGACATAGCGCATCACGAATCACAGGGATATCCTGAAACTAAGGGGAATGCCAACAAGGATTATTGAGTTGATAGCAAGCTGGTACTGTAAATGTTGTAAAGGGTGGTGGGAACCTGTCTAGTTTCTTCCCCGAGAATCCAGGAGTGAGGCAAGGTTCGGCCCTTGCACCAATTCTTTTCAACACTTGCAAGGGCTGGGTACTGGGCAGAGATACCAGTATGCCCAGCGTTATGGAGCAATGCCGGGCAGTATCAATATCAATATCCTGGAAACCATAGTGGCGGTCCTTGATGAAGTCCCCTGGATCAAGACCAAGATCCAGGATTTGAGGCCTGCTCAATCGGCACGTGCGAGCGGTGAGGACACTGAAGTCACATATTTCTTTACAGACCTCGGTGGTGTAATTCATGACTGGGCTGTCACAGGCCTAACAGCAGGTGTCATGACTCTCTCGCCAAGAGTATTTGGAGATGCCGGTACCTGTTCAGAAGGAACAAGCTGCGCGTCTATATATATATATATATATATATACATATATATATATATATATACATATACATATATATATATACATATATATATATATATATATATATATATATATATATATATATATATATATATATACATATATATATACATATATATATATATATATATATATATATATATATATATATATATATATATATATATACATACATACATACATAAACATATATATATATATATATATATATATATATGTATGTATATATATATATACACATATGTAAGTCCGGTATGCGAAGCTAAGCCTCGCCCGGGCTATGAGGGGAGCCCGGCCTGTGTCGCCTAATGTCGACTCGCTAACAGTGTGTCAGCTGGTGCTGACTCGGCTTAGTCCTTACCCGCCGTGGTGCCCAGCCACAGCAGTAACCCCCAGGCGATAATTGCAACTTCTCGCGCCTGGGCGGGGCGCGAACCGCCGACCCCTCGGATGAGAAGCCGACATATTACCAATGTACTAGCCTGGAAACTTATATACATATATATATACATATATATATATATATATATATATATATATATATATATATATATATATATATGCAAATGTTTATGTATATATACATATGTATACACACACATGTATGTATGTATGTATATATGTGCATATATATGTGTGTATACATATATATCTGTAGATACACACACACACACACACACACACACACACACACACACACACACACACACACACACACATACACACACACACACACACACACACACATATATATATATATATATAGATGTGTGTGTGTGTGTGTATACACATATATGCGTGTATGTGTGTGTGTATACACATATGAGTGTGTGTGTGTGTGTGTGTTTGTGTATACACATATATGTGTGTGTGTGTATATATATGCACATACATGTGTGTGTGTTTCATTAAATGGGATGTTGTAAGAAGACAACATCCCATTAGAAGACTAGGTGAAGAACAGAAAATACTAAATGATGGAATGGTAAACCCCAGGGTAGCAAGCAGGAATTAGGGGTAGGTTCATAGTTCACAAACGTTTAGAAAAGAATATCGTGGAACTCTATAGTATAAGCGAAAGAGTGGCTTCAGTAACAATAAAACTAAATAATAGGTACAACTTAAAGGTTCAAGTCTGTGCTCCAACCAGCAGCCATATTGATGAAGAAATAGAGCACTTCTATGAAGATGTTCATTTAGACAGCGAGAGAGCAAAAACCCATTTTACAATAATTATGGGAGATTTTAATGCCAAAATAGGTAAAAAGACAAAAGAGAAACCCTAATGGGGAATCACGGAATAGGCACTAGGAATGAGGAAGGCCAAATGCTAGTCGATTTTGCGGAGGCTCTAATACTAGAAACGGAACGGAAGTGGACATGGAAGTCGCCATCTGACATCAAAAATTAAATTGACTTCAAAATTTCAAATAGGTGCGATCTAGTAAAAAATGTGGAAGTTTTTGATAAAATGGTCAAAGACGAAATTACATTATACCTCAGAAGGGATTGGAACAAACTCATACGAAAACCGCAGCCAAATTTACCAAACTTGTTGACCAGACCAGACTTCTCAGCGACAAAGATCTCAACACTAACCAACAAACAGTTCAATGGCATAATAAAGGAAGCTGCACTTGAAGTATGTGGTTAGAACTTCAAGCAAAGCTCCAGCAAGTTCTCGATAGAAACCAAACAGCTTATGCAGAAACGTAGGGTCATGAAAGTATCGTCAAACAGGACAAAACAAAATTAACTGAACAAAGACTGTAAATACAAAGAAGAGAGATGTCCTGAAATTCAATACTCAAATAATAAATGAAACAGGGATCTCAGTTACCAGCATGAAAACATCTAAAAGGAGACTCCGAATAGGAAGAAATCAATTGTATGCAATAAAGAAACGGAGAAATGACATATAATAAGAATTAAATCATAAGAGTAGTGGAAGACTTTTTACAGGGATCGATACAACTCAAATGAACAGCCACGGATATAAGCGAATGCAGCAACTAGAGACGCACCTAACATCACAGCAGAAGAAATAAAAAGAGGGCTTAAAGGCTTGAAGAGAAGGAAAACACCAAGTGAAGGCGAAATTAATATAGACCTTATGATAGATGCAGAAGAAATTGCAACAGTGAAACTAGCCAATCTTTTTAACAAATGCCTTCTCAACGGAAAAAAAATCCTGGAAAAATACAACATTTACCTTGATACATAAAAAGGGGATAGAAAGGATCTAAAAAACTTAAAAAGTCATCACAACTCGGATCTCTGACAGCTTACCCAAATAAGAGAAAAATAAACGAATATAGGAAACCCTTGTGTATGACATTCATCGACTACAAAAAGGCAGTTGTTTCTGTACAAATACCAGCAGAACTAGAAGCTATTCCGAAGACAGGGAGTAGAGGAGGTATATTGTAAAATATTGGAAGATATATACGAAGATGGGACAGCAACCATGAAGCTCCACATGGAAACCGACAAAAAGACAATCAAAATAGGTGTCAGACAGGGCGATACCATCTCACCAAAACTGTTTACAGCTTGCCTTGAAGAAATATCCAAGAAACTAGAATGGAACGGAAAGGATATCAAAGGAGATGAATACCTAAACAATTTAAGATCTACAGATGATATTGTTCTCTTCAGTGAATCTGCAAATGAAATGCAGCAACTAATAAACGATCTGAATAGAGAAGGTCTGAAAGTCGGACTTAGGATGAACAAGAAAAAGACTAAGATCATACCCAAAGCAACTTGGTTCCTTGCCATTATGTTTAAAAAGAAAAGTATTTAACCAATGCGTTCTCCCTGTTATGACCTATGGATCAGAAACATGGACTGCAACCAAATTACTGGAGAGGAAACTAACAAGTGCCCAGAGAGGGATGAAGAGAATGATGCTGGGAATTAGCCTAAGAGATCGGATGAGGGTGACGTGGAATCGGGAACAGACGAAAGTGGAAGATATACTTGGAAGCATCAAATTAAAAAATGGCAATGGACAGGTCATATATGTCGGAGACAGGACGACAGATAGACAAATTAAGTAACAGACTGGGTTATAGATAACATAATGAGGCCAAGGGCCAGACCAGTGGCAAGATGACGTAATGAACTAACGAAATTTGGGAGCCAAGGCTGGAAACAAAAAACGCAAGACAGACAAAAATTGGAAAAGACTTGGAGAGGCCTCCGTCCTGCAGTGGATCGCTTCAGGCTGATGATGATTATGATATATATATATATATATATATATATATATATATATATATATATATATATATATATATATATACACAATACACACACACGCATATTTACAAATGCATATACATATATATGAGATTAAACCGGTGCTCAATCATAAGCCTAATGCATACATATATAAAAAAACACACATACAGATACATATGTATGTGTATGTATATGTGTATGTGTATATGTATGTGTGTGTGTGTGTGTTACTTCTATAAACCTTTGATTAAGCCGGTGCTTAATCATAAGACTGGTACATAAATATATAAAAAAACACACAAATATATGCATATATATATATATATATATATATGTGTGTGTGTGTGTGTGTGTGTGTGTGTGTGTGTGTGTGTGTGTGTGTGTGTGTGTATAAGGGAGAAAAGGCTAAATAAATCAAAACGGAGATTTTTACCTATGTCTTTGTCTCTATCATTAATTTACATTAATTACAATTCTTTGGCAATGAATTTGAAATCCTAATAGTGAACTTTTTTTTACTAAAAAAATTAATACTTATTAGAATTATACTTATAAGATTATCTACACGCACATTTTTTTTATTACATAAATACATTAAGTATTGTTGGAATAAATAAGGTCACCTATTCACACTTGCTCGAATAAATACACAAACATGTATACAGATACACACTCGCACAGACACACACACACATAGAATCATAAACACACATCCACAATCACAAACACCTACTCATATAGATAGTCTACATTGAAATAGAAAATATATAAATTATCATAAAGACGCCATGAATTTTACACTTTACCTCAGGACCCGAATCGTGTTTTGCCTCGAGACGGATGAACAGAAAACCAAATATAATCGCGAAGAAGAGACATTTCTTCATTTTCTCGATATTATTGTTTCTATTCGGATTTAATGTAGCGAAGGTGATACCAAATTGCAGTGATATTTCTCTTTTTTTTGTATTGTGCGACTTTACTCTTCCTGTCACTGTTTCATCTTTCGTTCGACACTGCTTCTGTTACTCGTTGTTCGTTTCTGTCACTGCTGCTTGTGGTATTGAGGCACTAAAGTCAGATTACAATTCTAAGAGTGCCACATTATTACACGCAGTTGATATCAAGGCTGTATCTTGATTCTTTAATGTTAGAAGGCATTTCTAAGTGCCACTCTTGCTCGAAGTTCGCATGGCACTGATATTATTTTGTTTTTTTTGTTTTAGATATACTAACAACGGGCACTTTGGGTCTTATCATTATCTTTGGGATTTTGATATCAACATTTCATGAATTTGTTATCAGTTCATCATTAACAATGTTTGTCTTTTCAGTATTTATTCCCCTTATCTCTGTTTCTCTCTCTACTCATTTTCTCTCTTGCTTTCTCTCTCTCATTTCTAATTTCCTCTCCTACCGTAAAACGAAAGGAATGGGACAAGCAAAGTTATCAGAGATTCTTGTCTCTTCTTCTATATCTCATCCACGATGGCTTTCGTTCTTACGAAACACGGAAGAGGAAGAGGAGAGAGAGAGGAGAGTAAACGGGTGCACGCTACAC